AAGCCTTTAAGTGGAGGTATTTGTTCGAGGTCGAGAAATAGTGTGGCAGGGTTAATTAGTAGGGTAGAGTCCGAGATTTTGTGCCATGCCGCTTCTAGGCTTTGCCATAGGGATCTGGCCTTTGGGCAGTCTATGAAGCAATGTATACCTATACTTAAAAATTCTTGAAAGGAAAAACGGTCAATGAAGGACGCTGCCTGCCGTGCCCAGGGAAAAGATTCCTCACACTTGGCTGCAAAAGCAAGTCCCAGGGGAGATGAAAATCTGCTCTTCCGGCTGGCTGTCACGTAGTGTGAGCCAATCGACTGGAGCAGCCGGAAAAAAAATCAGGCCCTGCACCTCAAAACCATGCCCGGATGGGTTCCCCAAAAATCCTGGGCTGCACAGCCCGAAAAACTGTGTCATGCGCGTGCCCAATTCAGGCCCACAGGCCGCTGCATGAGTGTTTTAGATGTTCACCACAACAGCCCCTGTTCCACCCAGATGAGTATATCCAAAATTGATGCAGCTTTTCTTCTATTGCAGACAATGAACCACACTCGAGAAGAGTCATTCCAACAATGTAACTGTTTTACCTCTGTAGAAGCAAGCAACATCGAGCAGAAAAGCTGCAGAATAGATAGGTTATGCCCCTTTCCTGACTATCTTTACTTCGGCTTTTTTGGGGGTACCCCTTCTATATGTTAAGTATCTTTGCTTCCCTTTCAGTACAGCCCACTGTAGGTGGCTCATGCGATAGTCTGTTTTCCTCCTTAGGCTGCTGCGTCTGTTGTTCGTCTTCAGGCTGCTGTGTCTGTTGTTCGTCTCCAGGCTGCTGCTTCTGTTGTTCGTCTGGCGAGGATGAAGGAGATCCGACTACGGTTGCAGCAGGTGTAAAAAAAAAAAAGACAACGAATCCCAACCACGTTATTAACACCGAGAACCTAATTATATAGAGTGTTCCATCGTCACAGGGAGACTTCGTCCTCCTCCCCAACCTCGAGCTCCTAGCTACGGCGCAGGCCTGCGCCCAACCTATCAAGCCCATCAAGCCCATCAATCGCCATCAACTCTCCTGAACCCAACACGCCACTCAGCAGTCCAATCGCGATGCCCACTGCAGACGAAGTGTCCGTGCAACAGGGGAGAGTAGGTCCCAGGATGAAGAAGAAGAACCACAACACGGTGGAGATGAAGATGCTGCCCTTGAAGGAGACTTGCGAAGCAGCGGCTTCGCTGGCAGCTATCCGACCCCCAACACGGCACAGCAGGGAGGTAAGCACTCAGCAGCGCCTTGGGTCTGTCCCTCCAGCAGTGCCCTTGATGAAGCTGATCGGCCCAGCTATGGCCGTCGTCCACCACCAAAACCACAAAGATGAAGCCCTTCACTTTCCAGTGCAGCAGGTTTTCCCCGACCTTCCTTCCAGCAATGTGAAAAGAAAAAAAAAAAACTAAGAAAGAACCCGTTCCGACCGTTCCCCTTTCCCCTCAACAATTTTGTACACTTAGGTTTGCACCGACTGTAATTACCCTACAGCCTGGGACCGACAGCATACAGCCTAGGACCGCATGTAGAGTTAAAACTAAGAAGAAGGGGAAGACAACAACAGGCCTAGGACAAAAGAGCAAGGCCTTGTGGTCTAAGACTAGCTAAGAGAGGAGCCCCAGCAAGTGACAGGTCTCAGGATCAAGACCCGGTAGACTCAGAACTAACAAAAAGTTAAAACACACTTGAACAAATATGCCACAAGGAGAAAACAGCCGAACGACTTAGTGTTACACCCGCTGAAACCTGCAATTCATTGCATTTGTGTGTGTGTGTGTGTGTGTGTGTGTGTGTGTGTGTGTGTGTGTGTGTGTGTGTGTGATTGTTTGTGTGGTACGAGGCTCCCGCGACCGTGCCACGGCATGTTGCGTCGGAAGGTGTGCTTATAAACAACACAGGGAAAGAGCCTGCAGCCTGGGATGCCCATAGAAAAGAATGCTTATAATGTCCAGCTTTTTTTTCCCATTTAAAACTATGCTATATTCTTCTCTCAAATCGGTCATCATCTTTTAAATTCTTTCAATCCAGCTTTCAAAACCCATCAAACAAAAAAAGAAAAACACAAAACAAAAACCAATCTGACCAGCGGCACGGCAAGTACAACAAGGCAAACCAAGTGGCAGGCAAATGTCAAGACGCAACACAGCACTTGGACGACAAGCTGCAGCAAAGAACAAAGGGTGGAGGGCATGGGGGAGGCGGGCGCGCAGACAAACAGCACTAGGCAGAAGAACGAGGTAGCAACAACAAGTCAAGAAGTAGCACTAGGGCGGTGAAGCGACAGCACGGAACGTAGGCTGGAGGGCATGGGGGAGGCCAGTGGGCAGGCAAGCAGCACTAAGCAAGAAAAGAATGGACAGGAAGTCAAGAAGCAGCAAGGCAACAAGACAATGCGGCAGACAAAAGAACAGGTAGCAAAAAAAACACAGCGCGAAAAAAATAAAACTGCTGAAAGATTGTTTCGTCGGAGTTGCACCGACTCATCAGGAGGCTGAACCCTCGACAATCTGCGGAATCTTCGTATTGAATGGCTTGGGTCATGAACCCTTTGACCCCTGTTGAAGGCAGAGTGTCCTCCAAACGGAAAACAGCAGTGGGCCGCAACCCAGCGAAGCACCAGGCAACCCTGTAGAGGCAACACAGCTGCTCAGCGCTAAAGACGACTGCAAGGAACGACACAGCAAGCGGATGACGGATGAACAGTGCAGCAACCATGCAGTGAAGCACAAGACAACACAAGCAAGGCAACCACACTGCAAAGGACGACAGGGCAAGCGGACCAGCAGTTTGGCAACCCTGCAGTGAAGCACAAGGCAACAGCAACAAGGCAACCAACCTACAAGGCACGCAAGCAGCAAACATGGAAGGCACGACCAGCGGATGGGCAGCTGAGCAGCGAAGCGCAAGGCAACACCAACAAAACAGCCACACCACACAGTGAACACATCAACTTGCAGACAGCCACATGCGAAGCAAGCGGAACAGGCAGCAAGGCAGCGGTGGAGCGCAGACGAGTTAGTCCACACATCCAACACGGAGCAAAGCGGCATATGACCTACTCACATCATGATTGAACCCCGCAGACTATTGGTCCCACCACCCACAGAGCCAGGGAGACACTCCGACGAGCATCCGTCATCATCCACAGGCAACACAGACATCCCGAACCGAGCGGCCCCCCTAAGAGTGCTGTAGGCACTCCAGACAAGTAATGACAGACTGTTTGGCACAACTTAAAGGTGCTCAGTTGGGCAGACAAAAAGTACATTGAAAAAATCAGAGGGAAGACAG